ACAGCCTTGGCCATGTTATGCATAAATCTAAATTACAGGACCTACTGCAGTCTAGTTGCAGGCTTGACCTTGTATTTCTCTTTCCAAGTCCTGCATATGTATGCTATATGGTCTAATGCTTCTATTCCATTAAAGAGAAATGGGCCTCCTCCATATGACGCAGTAATTTTAGCTTGCGATCTGCTCATGGGTGGGGAATAGACGTGTTGTCAGCCTGCTACAGTGTCTTGATTTGTGTTTGGCAAGGAGCTTCGGCTAGCTCTGCATTTATATGTGGAACAAAAAGCAAACGACAGCTGCTAAAACTTCCAGTCACATGATTCTGAAACTAAAATACAAATTTAAAATGTTTTTAGGCTAGCACGTGAAAGGTTATGTTCTTTTCGGGCCTTCTGACCTGCACTGGGTTGTCTGCTTGCCTCCCACGTGGCAATACGAGAAGGTCACTGCTGCCTGTCAGGGTGGAAGCAGGTGCTCGTGTCTGTGGCAAAGGTATGCTGAAGGTTGGAGTGATGTAAATGGCCTGCCCAGACTTTGGTGCTGGAAAAGCAGTCCCTGAAGGACATGGGCTGCCTGGGATCAGGTCTGGGTCTTACGAGAATCCTCTCCTTTGCTTCTGTATTGAATATGGTTTGCTGGCAGAAAGTGTGCCAAGGTGTGCTGGTCCTTAGGACAGTAACTCTTGAAAAAGTCCCTGACAGCAAAGCTAAGTCCCTAATGATAAGAAGCAGCATTTATTTAGTTAGAGGATTTGATCTTGTTTGTTTGTTTGTAAATCTTGCTGTCTGTTTTTGACCTATGTTTCAGTGAAATAAAGAGATTACTTCTGTTCTTCTGGTGAGTGTGTATTGCAATGTGTAGTTTTCAAACCAAGGTAGTTCTCAGAAGATACTGTTTTTGTTGGGTACTGATAGAAAATCATTACGATGAAATGCGTTGGTTTTCTTTCAAGGAGTCTGTAAATCCAGCGCAAGACTTAAAAGATCCTGAGAATTAAAATGCACAATTTAACTCCAAGGTCATCTTGAATACCAGGAATGCTGGCAATTATATCCACTGGAGTTGTTTTCCAGTGGTAACTGTTTCTGCTGGCAAGCTGCCTGGAAGGTGATCAATGACTTACGAATCCCAGAAACGCTTCTGGTCACGGCTACCTTAGGAGCTGCCTTGATCTGCAGACCAGTGTGTCAGTGCATTCTGTTCTGTCCCACAAATAGGAAGGTCCTTCCTTCCTGAATTACTTTGCTTTTAATCCCAAATTTGAGGCGTTCAAAGTACGCACTTGCTTGGGGCTTAACATCTTCGGAGCTGGCAAAGAAACCCTTTTGCAGGTGAAAGAGAAGATACTTGAAGCAAGTTAGCACTTACTGGCTTTGAGGCTCTCTAGATTTTAGATTTCAAATCACTGGGGAAGTTAGAATTTTTAAAATTAATGTTGTCCCCAGGTTCTGATATCTCTGCCACCCAGTTTGCACAGTTAAAAAGTTGGCAATATTCCACGAGCTTCTTTTTTCCCCTAGTCTGACTAGTTCTCTTGTGTAGAACATCTCCAGGTGTCTTAAGACAAAGCAAGGCCATGAATAAAACCAAGGGTCTGCAGAGCACTGACCTGGCCTTGCAGCTCCCTGAAAGAGGCCCTCTGCTTGCACTGAGCTTGTATTGAACCTTAGCAAACCTCTGCAACTCTAGAAAATGTGATGTCATGACATAGGCGTATATGCAGGGAGCAGCTTTCAGCAGCCCTTCAGAAGGAAATGAAGGGAGGTGCTGTAAACTGTTTTACAGCTTTGGAAAATTTCCTGGATTTTTTTTTTTTTTTTTTAACCTAGTTATGAAAGGTCCATTATTGCATAGTGGCAGACCTGGGAAATGGAGCCTGGACTTCCCAGTTATTCTGACTACTGGATAGGTTTCTCTGATGGGAATTAATCCGGCATACTTTGAAAGATAGTGCTTTGGGATGGCTGAAATACCAGGCTCTTTCTAAGGAGCAAACTGCCAAACAGAGAATCTAACCAAGGTTAGGGGTTGCTCCGTAGCAGGATAAGTTTTACTTTTCCCTCTGTGTTCCAGCCAGAAGATGTTGAAAGCTGTTGAGTTACCCTGAATCTAAACATGGGTCATGAGCTAATTAATGTCAGTTTTGTTGTTGTTGGCAGCATTTGTTTCTAGATTTACAAAGATTTTTAAATTTGTAGGTTAATATTGTGATTATCTGAAAGCATAATACGAGCCGTAGCTCTTACAGGCATGAAATCCTACTTCAAGTATTCAAGCTTCATCTCTATTTTTAGTCACAAGTTCCAATCTTGAGTTACCAAGAAAAATAAAAGAGGACAAAATCCATTGGAAGCAGCAGGTGAGCTGTTCTAATGGTAGTACCGTTGCTACTGAAAACCTGTCCTTTTCTTCTATTTCACATTTCTGGCCATCAGGCTTTAACGCGCCTGTGTCCAACAGAAGGAACTTGAGTTCCTCCAGTTCTTCGCTGTGTAGCCACGCGTGCTTGCCATTTCTAACTTCTGGTTTTGGTGAGCAAAATAGATAATCCTTCTGAAGTGATCACTGTAAAGGCTCTAAGTTTCAATCTTCTGGTTACTGGAGTGACTATTTGAATTTACTTCATTCTTTCACCACTTTTTCTGGAGAGTGATTGTCAGAACTGGATATGATACTCCCATTGCTGTTGGACCTCCCATGTTTTATTCAGCCAAGCCCTTCGGTCACAGTGTCTTACCCAGCGCCTGTGCCCACCTGCTCATCTTCCATCACCCTCTGCTTTTTCTTTTTAACATCTGCTTTTTCATAGGACAGAGTGCTATGTTCTGAAAAGCACTTTTCTGACGACGGCTAGACTTTGGCTGCAGTGAGACACATTTTTGCCTGCTTCCAGGTAGACTGCTTTCAAGGAGTTTATCTTTGTTGTTTACTCATCACGGCTTGTATGAGCTGGGATCTTTTTAGGAGCCTGGGGGGTTTTTTTGTGACTTCTAATAACATATTAAATAATTAAGGCCTGGGAACACATTTTTGTACAAACTGAATAAAAGTATATACAATCATTAATGATTTTTTCAGTTACAGTCATTATTATAGGACCTAGTGGTTAGCCAGCTTTAATCTCTTTAATGTGTCATGTTGTTTCAGAACCAGTTTAGTTCTCTAATCAATGTGTTGTACGGTAGCCAGCTCTAATGTATTACAGAGTTTTTAGTAAATTGCATCAACACTATCGCTTTAAAAAAAAATTCATTCCATTGTTTTTCCCAGGATTGATGGCACAGAAGCAGGCTTATGATTTGATTACTCATACTTTGGAAATATTGGTGGGGAGCTGGCATTTTTCCAGTCCTCTGCAGCTTTCCTGGTTTTCAAAGCCTTATTAAAAATTGATATTGATGGACAAGCTTGCTTTTCAGCTTTCACAGTATGGAACGGTCCCTCGAGAACAGGTTGCAGAGCCAACATCTGTGAAGGGGGAGATCTCTGCTCTGCAGCTTAGGAGGGTTAAATTACCCATCCCTGCCCCCAGGTTAGGAAACTGGGTCAGAGGCTGATGCAAAGGTAGGTGGCTTTCATGAAATCTCATTGCCAATGAGCACTGAACACCCTGGTGTGACCAGAAACAGCCAAGCAACCTAGGTAGCTCTCTTCTAAACAGAAAAATGCAAAAAGACCTGAAAGTGCAAAATAAAGCTTCTTATTCTTTGTGGGACTGGCCAAAGAGTGTAAGGCCCGGCACTTAACAGTTGCTTGAACGGAAAGGACGTCGAATCCACGTACTGCCTTTTACTGTTGCAGCTGCAGTTTACTCCTCCTCTCATCTCCAGGCTTGGTTTGCAGTCTTGGTTCCTGCGCATTTGCTGTGCCTTCAACAGCGTGTTCGCTGGGATGGAAAGCACTCAAGTGGCGGCGTGGTCACGTAGCATGCTCCAAGTTACGCAATGAGATGTTTCACAGGGTTTTAAAACTACTGGTGCAGAGAAGAGAAAGCACTAAATGAAATGCCTATGGAGGACAACAATAAATTAGGTCATCTATTAAATTTTTCATCTCTTGAGTCTGCTCAAGCCCGGCAGCATCCAAAGCAGTATAAATCTGAGAACTCATGGTCTTAAAATGAGAACATACTGGATGAAGAGACCATTATGAGATAGACATACAAGGAGCTGTATTCCTTTCCTCCCTTTTTTTTTCTTTTTAAATGCAGCAGGAGGACTTTTGTTGGCAAAGCTGACTGTGATTCCACCTCAGGTTTATCAACCTCCTTTCATATCAAGCTGAACATGAATCTTATGCCAAAAGGGAACTATGTCATAGCAGGGTGGATAATACAGCATGGATGAAAGACCTTTGGCAAAGTCTGGTGCAACTCGGGGAAGAGCAAAATTATGTTATTTAATAAAGGATAAATCTGTACCAATCAGACCAGAAGAAAAGTCTCTTGTCTTAACTTTCCTTCTCTCCCCTCCCACCACTGCAGTCGTATAATCAAAATGTGAACTACTGTACATGGGCATAGCTCCTTTGCTGATACTGGAAGTATGCTGACTCACACCAGCAGAAAATACCATCCCTGTGCTTTATAGTAGCTTTGCTAGTTTTCAGGGATTTCCCTTTGGTTTTAGTGGTTTGAGTTGTTTTCTCAGGACACAACTGCATCATTTGATAGCCTAATATATACTAATGATAGAGTGATAATAATGTTCTATTACCTGCCTTCTCTTCCTTGACTTTTCATCCTATTGTCCCCTGGTTGAAATTTTTTATCAGCACTTGAACAGGGAAGAGGAGAAATGATTTTTCACACTCTAAGCCTGTTAGCATCGTAATGCAGAACAGGGAGAAAAAGGTTTTGCTTCTGCTTTGTGATTAAAAATAAACGAGATGTGCGGTAATTTCTGTTACCTTCGTTTCACCGAGTGAAGTCTGGTGAAGTCCCTCTGTTTGTATTTCTAACTATCTGGCACTGGGATGCTTGGTGCAGTTTGGGTTGATGCAGACTAGGTGGAGTAAAACTGAGCCTGTAGGGTGAACAGCGCAAGGCTGAGGAAACATGCATGAAAGCAGACTGCAGATGGGCGAGATAAACAGGATCCCCAGGCTGTGACTGAGTAGGCAGGCCTCTTTAATGGCTCTTAGCAACGCCCCTGCTTTGACCCTCCTCATATGTGAGGAAAATCAAATCAATACACTGTTCTTCAAACCACGATGCTGCAGCAGCAGCAGGGCATTGTGGCAGCCTTCGTCTCTTAAATTCATCAACGCTTTTCAGTTTGCTGATCTCTGGATATCCATCCCTGCATCTCTGCTGAGGAAGACCCTGACTGCATCTTTAATCAGATTGCTTGAGCTCCCATGTACAACCTTCTTCTTATTAGCAAGTATTAGGTAGGCAATTTTAAAGTGCTTTTGGATTTGCAGGCAGCTTTTAACATTGATCTGAGGACTCTATTGTATTCTCTGTAAACATAGCAGAAGCCTCTCTTTAAAACCTACTCTGTTTTAAGTCTTGCTTTTCTTCTGTTTTTGTGGTTGGGCAGGGGGATTTCTGTTTTTTCCTTCTTTTTTTTTCAAAAAAATGTTGTAGCCGATCTGTGCTTTTGGAAAAGGATATTCCCTCGTTGATCCCTCCCCTGTTCTGCAGAACAGCTCTAACCGGTGCCATACAGTTACTTTCAGTGTTGATGAACATCTGTTCAACTGTCTAACATATAGGGCAGGCTGCTCACTCTGTTATTCTTTAATTTTCCGGTGCGTACTTCAAAGCTGCAGATCAGGACTCTACCCGCTAAGTAAGTTCTGCTTTGGTTCCAGAGATGGCTAACAGAGGACCAAGCTATGGCTTAAGCCGAGAAGTTCAGGAAAAGATTGAACAGAAATATGACCCGGAATTAGAGTCTAGGCTGGTGAACTGGATTATTGTGCAGTGTGGAGAACAGATAGAGCACCCTCCTCCTGGAAGGCAACATTTTCAGACCTGGTTGATGGATGGAACGGTAAGTGTTTTGTCCAGTTATATACTTGCATGGGTTTATATGCACTGTGTCCTTATTTTCTGTCTTCATCTAGCTAAATTAGTTAGAGCTCGTGGCCAGTGCATAAATAGGTATCTTAGCATCTGATTTCTTTTCTTTTGACCAGGAATCTTAAACTGAGAAGATAATTATTCTACTAGTGCACTGGGATTAGCACAGTACTTATGATTCTTATGAGTCACGCACGTTATATATGAGCATGACTCATTCCTTCAGCACCTTTTCTCATACAGTTAAATGAGATCTGTTTTAAAATCAGATGTATACTTTCCTCGTTAAGAAATAATCGTTGTTGACAGGGAAAGGTGAAGAGATACAGAAAATTTGAAGGATTGGATTATGTCATAACTGTTTTCTTCTTGGGAATAGTTCTGTAACTAAAACATTGTATTCCATTGGTTTATTGAACAACAGGCAGATGCTGCTGTTTGCAGTGGGCTGTAAGAATACGCTAATCGTTGAATGTCTGCCAAAGTGACTTTAACAATATTTCAATTGACATTGCTTATTTTTTTGGCTTGGGCATGTGGTTTCTTCTCTGTCAGTTGTTATATAACCTTTACCAGTGATTGCTTTGTTGTTTCTAGCAGATTAGGATTTATATGGTCAGGCTATTGCCATCAGTTAATGAAAGCTTTAATGCATTTCTAATATACTTTGATTATTATCAATTCACTTCTTTGTTTTTAATTGAAGAAATTGTGTTCCTGACAGAATCTGGCCAGGTCAAAAGCGTTTTGCAGCATCATTTCATGTGCAGAAATTGCCTTCTAGTTTGGTGACTGCTTTCTAATTTTATTTCTGTATTTATCTCTCAGCTGCTGTGCAAGTTAATAAACAGTTTACATCCAAAGGGAAATGAGCCCATTGCAAAGATCTCTGAATCAAAAATGGCTTTCAAGCAGATGGAACAAATTTCTCAGTTCTTAAAAGCTGCTGAAATCTACGGAGTAAGAACAACAGATATTTTCCAGACAGTGGATTTATGGGAAGGTAAAAATAATAATCTGGAAGTCAGCTTGCAGTCTTCGTTTTACTTTGCTTTGATGTGCTATGATGGTGCATTTTGTCTAAGGCATATTCTCTAATGTAATTATCTTTTGTTTCTGTTTGCCTTACCTCATTACCATCTTCTTCCGGTGGTGCATTATCTCCTCTGAGGGATTTATATTGCCCTGAGGGCATAATGGAACCTTTCCAAGCTCATGTGTTATACAAAAGCTCATCATTCTGATAGAAATCCACAGACCTAATAAAACAAATGTTCTCTATGCTAATTATTTCCAAGTAAATAGCTTCTAATAGCAAATATGGAAACCCCTTATTTTCTGATGACAAGATTTTATTGCAGTTTTCAAATTATAAGCAAAGCTTAAATTAGAGCTATAAAATGCATTCCCAGGAGCATATATGCCTCTGTGGAGCTTATGAGGGCTTGTTTATGACTAGCGAGAAGCAAAACTCACTGCTAACACCATGTTAGCTGAGCATCTCTCTCTAAGGATACAGTCTTTTTAGAGAGGTCACTATGGCAACAGCAAAAAAATTCAGAGTGCCCCTGTGGTTTTGCAGTAACCCAGGTGAAGGCTGTCTCCATCCCATGCTCAAAGTGGAAACTGCCTGTTCTAGTTCCTGGAGGGCTGAGTCTTTTGTGCATTCGTATGGCTGGTTTTGCCCATTTCTGTGGTGATGCATCTCTTCCTGGTGCTTTAACCAAAGACGCTGTATATCCTGCATCTCTCTGGACAAGGTGATGCAAAACGCTTTGCATGAGGGCTCAACACAAGGACAGCTGCAGGGCAATGAAAGGGTCAAAAATCTGCCATGAGAATGAAACAGTGGGAAGAGGAAAGCAATCCATCGAGAAAGCTGGTTTGTGTAGGAACGCACTTGGAGCGAAAAAAGTGGGGTCTATTTTCACAGGCTGTCGGGATATGTGAAGACATCACTCCTCTGAAGGACAGTTCGAGGAATGAAAGACTAGGAAGCTCTCTGTGGATAGAAGGGAAGGATATACTAACCGTTGGAGTTACCGGGATCCGTAATGTTCTCAGAGTGCCAGATTTGCTTGACAAATCCTACCTTTGGGCACAAGGGCAGGATTGTTTCTTCCAGTTCAGTCTTCAGTGTTTCAGCCAATCTACCTTTAAATGTCTTAACTGAAGGGGTTTTCACTTCCCTGGAGTAACACCCTCCAGCCCCTCAGCCTAGCAGGCTGTTGAAAGAGAAGCTCCATCTATCTTGTAAGGGATGATAATAGCTCATTTCAGATGCTGTTCTCTGCAGTCTTTTGCATCTCATAATGGCTTCACACCAGGCAAATGAAAGTATGGTACATTGATCCTTAAACGGGACTTGCTCTGAAAACAAAAAGCTCCTAATGATGGTGGCTCTCTCCTCATTTCTCTTCCTTTCACTCATCGCCTTTTCTCAACAGATGTAAGGAAAAAAGCTAGTAACTTCCAGAGGACAGGAAGTCAAAACACAACTCACAGCCTAGGAGGGAGACATGCAAGACTTTTCTCCACTGTTATTTTAGGACTTCCCAAAACTAATCTGTGTCTCCTCACTTTCCCACTCCCTTTTCATCCCTCCTGCTGCTCATTTCAGTGCTGAGATGAAACAGTATGTCTCTCCAGCAGTGAGTCACTGCAAGCTTTTTGTGTCTAACCGTAACTCTGACCTCTAGCATCTGTGCTGCTTCAGGGCTGAATCGTCTGAACCTGGAAGCATTAGCTGGACAGAAAGGACAGTCTCTTTTTCACTATTTCATAATTACCGTGCTCCTACACTTCGGGCCATAACCTCTTTAGAAAGAGAGACAATGTTAAAGAAAAGTATGTGTGACTGAAAAACAGCTTTTCTCTGGCACTAATTGTTTTCCGAGAGCTTTTGCTTTGAAATGCTTAGTAATGATTAGTGAAAATGTTTTAGGATGCAATCTGCTGTTGACTGTTTCAAACTCACTCAGTCCATCTGGTGCATTTTTCTTCATCTCTGCGACTTCTTGGTCCAGGAGAAGTTTTGCTCTCTTTTGGTCCTTTCTTACATAAATGTGCTGTGCTGAGCAGCTTTCCCTAATCCGTGCCCAAGATATTATGTTCACTGGGTTTTACAGATACCTCCCCAGTATATTTTCCAGGCAGGCAAGAGGCAGCTGTACCTCTGGGTACTTGTTCAGCCTTTGCAAAAGAGCATTTCAGGAATACTGTGCAGAGCAGTTCTGTGTCTTTGGGTCTGAACCTTCCCCTTTCTGGGCCTGGAGAAGAAGGCCTTCCAGCCAGGTTTCCCCCAAAAGAGAAAGGCTTAGCATAAGAAGTGACCAGAGGGCCCTTCCTCCTTGTACAGGCAGTGCCAAGCTCCTCTGCGGGGCTGTGCTATTCCAAGCATGCTGCAGAGGACACTGAAGATGCAGAAGAAATGCCGTCAGCGTGGGTCCCTGCAGCATGATTCAGGGAGGCTGAGGCTGGGGGCCGGGCAGGAGGCCCACGCGGCTGTCAATGGGCAAGTGCTGGAGCTGAGGGAAGGCACTGACCGCAATTTTCTGCAAAGAAGATCTGCGGCAATTTTCTGCAAAGAAAACGCCAGAGTCAAGCTTGGCTTCAGAGAATGCGTACGATCCCTTCTGTCAGGTGGCTGCAGTGTTAGGCGACTTTCTCAGTGGAGATTTAAATTTTTTCACATTTAAAATTTTAAAATTTAAATTTTAATTTTAAATTTAAAAATTTAGATTTTAAATTTTC